GCGTCGACTTTGTTGATCAGTTGGGGATTCGTGATTCCAGCAGAGAATTCTCGAAGCTTGAAGCTCTGTTGGCTCTGTTGTTTGACTCCCTTGGAGCGGCTCAGAAGTTGGTTCTTCTTGTCCATCGGGCCGACACTAACCAGGTCTTTGAGCACTTTGCGAACACCCAACCCAGCCTGTACCTCGCGCATTGCCTCGGATACCTTGTTTCGGACCGCGGTCATCATATCATTGAATTCATCGAGCTTCTTAAGTGCCGGGGGCCATTGGAAGGCCGAAAGTTCGGAGCCCTCGTTGGCAACGGGTTCGTTCGAAGCGAGGGTCGCTTCTACCAATTCGTCGATGCTACGGAGAATGGCACCAAGCTGATGCGGCTGAGGTTCGCCAGTAACAGCCTGATCACCATCATTGCTTTGCGGAGGCTCCATATTGTCGTAAGGAAATGTGAGTACAGAAACGAATGATGATGATGGGTAGTATAGGTTGCAGTGTAATGCAATCCTTCTAAGTTGATACCTAGGTAGGTAGGTAAGCTGGGAAGTATGAGGTAGGTAGGTGGCATCAGGTGGGTGAAATGAGCCGGGTGTATGTACCTGACTTACCAGACTGTATGTACATAGTGATTCTTTACTTAGGAGGCTCTCGTCGAGGTGGTATGCGAGGTAGGTTACCTGCAACTGGAGGTAGCCGGTTAGTACTATGTTACAGGAAGGTACCTAGGTAGGTATTCACATGGGAATAGATTTCACTGTCGAATTATAGAGATGGACGATGAAATCTAACGATTCCGTCATCATCGTGTCTGCTCTGCAAATAAGTTTTGGTCATAACAACGGCTCGACCAAGGTGCCCATTGTGAATATTAGGTTACTTTAGACAGCATGAGAAAGAGCTATGTTGACTCATAGAATATCAAGACCAAAGACCTCCCTTGTCAACACATAGGTACATAGGAAGGTAGGTATATAAGGAGTAGATCTTACAAAGTATTAATGTAGGTACTGAAACAAGCCTTCGACCGGGAGACTCCGTCGAGAGTAGCTGGAAAGGTATTAACTGGAGTATGTATCATATCCTGAAAGAGTCATATTTATTCTGTGTATATGGTTATCCGAAAGGCACGGGTATTCATCTTCATACTTCGTCGACGATCTGCCCAGGTACCTGAGAATACAGAATTGTACTCATGGCTTTCGCTGCCGCCAGCTGACTCCGACGACCACATTGTCTTCGTCTCCATTCCCAATGAGAGCGCACTGAACACAAACCGTTCCAGCTTGACACTTAGCAGACACATAGCTTGGATCAGCCGAGATTAACCAAACCCTAGCGAGGGTCCTTGTCAAGATACTTCTCCGTCGGTGGGTTTTCGACCAATCAACACCTTCTGTGGATAATAGGCGTGGTGTTTGCCGGATCGCAATTCGCGTCGTAAGTGCGCGGAATAGACTTGGACTTCTGGCATAGACCATCCCAGTTCCCTAGTCCATAAAAATGTCACAAACCCTACAGAATAAAGGTCAGCCCTGTTGGCAAACAGTAGCTCTGGCTCGGGGCCCAGCAGCGAGACTCACCTTCGGCATCTCTTTCGAGGGCGAGCTGATTGTACGAGCCAATCTCACTGAGCTTGTCATCCGCTGGCCAGGCTCCCAGTGGTGTCTACAGACGAGAGTTAGATTCCGATCCTCAAAATAGGTCAGATATCCATACCTTGAAGTCGTATTCCTGGAGATCGACGAAACCAGCTTCTTCCATGGCCTTCCTTTGGGTACCTTCTTCAATGACGCGGAACGACCGGCCAATTTTCTTACCTACCTCTCCAAAACATTTCCCCCATTGAGCAAGAGCAGAGTCATCAGCAACGGTGCCATCATCACTGGTGATCACGGCCGAAGATTCCTTGCTCTCGAAGTACCCACCCGGCTCCAGGGCCGTAAACACTTCCTTGAATAAGGCGGTGTAATCCGGCATGGTCCCTACTAGCCACCGCATGTAGATGTAGTCGAAGCTGCCGGGTTGATACGTCCAAGGTTGTGTCACGTTGTCTACTTCGAATCGCAAGTTGGGCGGAATCCAGACTGGTTGTTGCGGCGAGAGGTCGACCCCGATGACCTCAGCGCCAGGAAACTGGTCGGCAAAGTCGCTAAACTATGTTAGATCCCACCCCAAGACTCATGAAGAGGGGGCGGAGGATAGTTACATTGCCCAAATTCCTGAGGACATATTAACATGATGTTCAACTGAGATGGATAGGTTGTGTTGTATCGTGAGACTCACCGGTACCACAGCCTACATCAAGCACTCTCTGTGTCACGTTCAGAATGCAATCGTGAGATAAAAGAACAGTGCGCGGCCTCTTACTTTGACATTGTCCTTGATTGGGGCTAAGAAAAGCTTCCCGTCCTGCTGTAAGGTTGAGACGTGGTGGCTGTACAGGACCGTTCAGCAAGTGAATTCAGAATCTCGCTGAGCTGGTCGGGCGAAAACTCACAGAATATCCATAGTTTCTTCATGTTGGGAGTCATTCGGATTCCTTGAAGAAGAATCAGCACCGATATCTTACGTACGATGAATAGAGAGGGGGGTCCAAGAGAAATGAGTCGCACCAAGACTGAGCGTTGCCGCGTTCGCTGTGGTATGTACGACCATGCACGGTTCGATACTCAAGAATACTGGCAGTCAAGGATGCGGTTGAGCTGGCATTGTCGTCCCCGTAAGCAGAATCTTCATAATCAGACTCGTCATTGAGCTAGGATAACGCCAGTTAATTCCTATCCCCTACTGCAAGTATAAAGGAGATTTCTTCTCCCGGAGAGACCAGCGCACCTGTGGTTGATTCAGCCAGTGCGACGCGGGAAGGATATCGGGATCCGATGTTTGCTGTGTAGCGGCAGCGTCTGTCGACGACGTCGTGCCCGTCGCCGTGGTCACCACAGGAACTGGGGCTATCGTCGCTGGTTTTTCTGCAGGTGTTGCCGCTGGTGTTGATTTAGCAGTGCTAGTCTCCGGCTGTGGTGTGCTTGGTGCTGCCTTAGGCGCGGCTGGAGTAGCCGTAGACGCAGGCTCGTCCGACATGCTGGCTGCCTGCTATATCGTATATAACTGCCTAAGATAGGTATCCTTGAGTTCTCAGGTTTCTCTGAAGAATAAAACAAAAATGAGCAGCTGATGGTAGGTACTATGTATTTGTTCCTGTTGGTGGTAGACTGTAATAGTACATACCAGTGTAGTAGTTGTGGTGGGGGAACGCGGCACAGCACAACTAACGTACCTAGGGATAGAACGTTAATTCCCATCTAGGTTATCTTCTATTCGTAAAAGCTACCTTAGGTAGTAAAGGGGGCTCGTGAGCGGCCACTTTCAATCAATACATTATGCAGTCTGCAACGGCTGCGACGCAACTCGGTCTCTTGCGCCAATGATATCTTTGCGGGTTAGGATAATACGAATACTACGTAATTAGCTGTGTCTGTGTGTTATGCACCCGCAGGTGTGATCAGGGGTAGGGTGAATTACATGAGGTAGTATTTACCTTGAATGGTCGAGCAGGGGGAGAAGATATCCGCTTTGTGGTATTTCTTGCTGATGTTTTCCAGGGTACTTGGTACCCATACAATGTAAGCCGCCACACTGCTCGCCTGCCACGTTCTGATACCCGACCGTCTGTGCCGTATTGGCCGGAAAGTTGCACTCGATGATCCGGATGCTACATGAGATCGTCAATCTTGAAGCCTCCAATTCCGCGAATTTATCACTGGAAACTGATGTTATACATGTACCCAGATACTGAACAGTTTCCCACTGGCTTCAAACGAAAGGCTTTCGGTGACTCGTCGTCATTTGTCATATTTTGTAATCCCAGCTCGGTTGAATACGTCCCTATATACACCCATGACACCGCCATGAAGCCGTCGAGTAACTTTGTACGGCTTGTCGCATCTCAACCGCATACCGAAGTGGAGCAGCTCGCCAAAAGACCATTCCTCCCAAAAGTCCCACTCACGCCCGCCGCGGAGAACCATCGATAATATTTCTCCTTTTATGTATGGCATATGACATGGAACGGCCCGGTTTGTTGGGCTCTATGATAGTGAGAAGCTAGTCTGGGTAAGCCATGCAAATGAAAGCTTTTCTCGAGTCGGTGCTGAGTCTCTAGAGTCCCGACTCCCTGGAGGCTGGAGCTTGAAATTTTTTCTGCTCAAGCCTCACCAGGCTCACCTCAGTAGCTACTAGACCTAGGTACGTTACATTTAAAGAATCGGGAGTTTTTGCTGCTGGCCCCGTGCGTACTATGTATGTACATACTATGTAAGATAATAACCCGTATGAAGTACCGACAGCGGGGATTGGCAACACCCTGAGAGATATCTCCGGCTACCTGCATGCTTGTGGACTGCGGATTATGAATTCTCTCAGCCGGTTCGGCTCCGCCGAATGTCTTAGATATCAAAGAGGTAGACGACGTGATTCACGTGAACGTGTGAAGTTGAAGTTGAAGTTGAAGATGAAATGCATGTACGGTAGACCTATGTATATTAATAATACCTGTTTACTTTCGAGATGCAGAAGATCGTCATCATCCTTCGTTTAGAATACTACTGTACCAGGATTCATAAATGCGGTCAGACGGATTCGCTCGCGCCAAGCCTCCGCTGTCAATGATCCACTCAATATCGGATTCTCCAGTCAATCAAATTCAGTACTTCGCAGATATTCCGACTTTTCAAATCAGACGCAGTTTTACATACATAGATACAAGACCTGCTGTTGGTTACATTACATAAACCTTATAAGGCTCAGAGCCAAGTACATTTAAGATTGGTCTGAACGAGAGGGAGACAAAAAAAGAGTTCATCCACGAGCATATCTTTCGTAACGTTGCATTTATGTCGGTTTCGAAGAAACTACAGTTTACCCATAAAATGAGATTCAAGGCGGGAAACAGACAAAAAAACATAAGGTAAATTCACGTAATAGATCATCGTTCAAAAAACAATCGCTGCCCACTACTGGAGTCGAACCAGTCATCTCCTCATAGCTTCCTCATTGGAGTACGTAAGTACTAGTGAGGCGCATTACCGCTGTGCCAAGCGGGCGGTTTGATTGGATACTGTGTCCAACCGGAGCGATCTGAAGATATCGATTTCGGTTCAAATCAGCCATTATAAAGCTTGCTCATTCAATAGTGGGCAGCCGTATGGCTAGGTGCTTTAGACCGGTTAAATACCGGATGGGTATCACGAAGCCATGATCTTTCAAAAACACGCGCTCTGCCATAATATTGTATCGTCTAAGGTCAAACATTAGGTACTGAAATTAGTGACTCTATAATTTATTGAATTTTCGTCACAAGTATCATTCATAGCCGATGCTTTTACACTCGTAGCGAGTATTATTGCGTTCGTCCAAATCGCCGACAGGATTATCTCACTTTGCAAAGGGTACATCGAGTCCGTTGAAAATGCCCCAAGCGATTTACAGGTCGTTCTCATCGAAACTTCTGCGCTGCAAGCCATCTTCAAAAGCCTCGACTACCTTCGTGGCAAGGACGATTCGTCCTTGATTTTGCAAAACCTTTTAAAGGTTGCAATGAATGCATTCAGAAGCTAGAGCAACTATTCCCGCCCGACTGTTTGACCGTCCAAGGCAAGTCAAAGCGGCAGAAGTTGAATGCTACGTTGGCGAGGTTGGCTTGGCCCATCCATGGCCCATCCATGGCCCTAGAGCCATAGAGTTGCTGAAGCAACTGTCTGTACGAAGTATACAAGTCCACAATAACGGTGGAATTCTCTTCCGATATTTCGTAAGTCCATACCATCATTTGCACTGCAACCTTCAATGGGACGAACAACCCTTTAGATTAACCCTTGTTGACCTTTCTCAAGGCACGAAGACTCGAGAGTTCAGCACATGGCTGGTGGATACGAATCCATCGTATATCCACAATCGCGCTTGCGACAACTGCGAACCAGGTACTGGTGACTGGGTCCTCAAGACTTCAGGGAAGAACTGGCTGAGCTCCACTAACGGGTCAAGACGCTGTGTTTAGATGCGTGGCGTCCCAGGCGCTGGAAAAACAGTCTTGGCTTCTCACCTAATCAGAGAGATCGAGGAGCATTGCGAACGAGCAGCTAACAAGAACATCACGAGTATCTACTATAACTGCTAACATGCCAACCACCAAGACGAGTCCATGCGATTCCTAAGATGGACCCTAAGCCAACTTTGTCAACAGAGCCAGGTTATCCCTTCTCTTATCTGGAAAACATACGACAAACATCTTCGGCCAACGCTAGAAGGGCTACTTTCCAGTCTCGAAGATTCTCTAAAGGGGTTTGACGCCGTCTACATTACGCTCGACGCGGTAGATGAAAGTGAGGAAAGGCTTAACCTACTTGGAGTGATACACAGGGTATCAACCGAACTTGGATTTGAGAAAACCCGGCTGTTTGTCACAAGCCGGGAATACTTCAATATCAAAACGGTCATGGAGCAGGTGTCAACGCACTTTTTGATGTCGAACCCATTAGTCGAAGAGGACATCAAGTGTTACGTCAGTGCTAAGTTGAAATCAAGCCAATGGGTTCGTCCTTGGTCTTTAGGGCTACGTGAGGAAATTGAGGATGCTCTCGCAGAGGGTGCAAAAGGAATGTACGTGAACTACTAATTGACCCCCATTACTAACCGACTCTGACCCGAGATGTCCTATTTCAGCTTTCGCTGGGCGGTCTGTCAACGTGATATCTTGAGACGCTTGAGAACTACCGACAAAATAAGGGATTTGCTACGACATCTACCCGAAGATCTTGACAAATCATACCAGAGGATCCTTTCTCTTATCCCAGAAGAAGACAAAGTCGTCGTTCGTCATACAATGAGATTTCCAGAGATCAGCACTAAGGCTCACTAAGGCTGTCCTGGTGTTCTAGTTGTACAATACCATAAGACATGTTTGACACTTATTACAGATTCCAAAAAAGAATGGGAACCACCGGAAAACCGCCCGGCTTTCGAATATCGCTGTTCATTGCTGCCTCAAATCTGTCAGTGTGGCGTATGCGACAACGACTTAGTGATGATAACCATGTTGCAGATTGGTGTCACAGGAACAATTCCGTTGCTTCGAAGGACTTCCATTAACATCTCGGCTCTATCCGTTCTCCACGACGTAGGTAATGAAGCGAGGTAATTTAATCTCTATCCAAACGGACAGCCTTCCCACCCACTACTGGACTTGATTCTCCTAATGTCATTCTCCATCTCTTCGATGCCTAAGTCCTTGCGATTTTCAGGGCCCAACTCTTGAAACATGTAGCCCTCTGGCATATATTGGGGGTCGTCACCTGGAAGCTTGCCGCCGTACAGCCAGATGGCCCATGCTACAGGGCCCCAGCGATTCCAGAGCGTCGGCTTGATGTAGAAGGGGAAGTTCCCGTACGGCATACGCTGCGTTATGCGCCCCGTCTGCTGATCCGGTTCGTATTGCCTCTTAAGCTCGAAGAAGCGCGGCAGCGTCAAGTACCGCAGGACGAACCGCCGGAGCGCAATGAGAGAGTAAATTGTCGCGCTAGCCGTAACTCCGGACTCGGGAAGCCTGCACATGAACTACTTGTCAAATCTGATTCTTGCTGGATGATCATGGAACGGGGAAGGGGGGGGATCGACTCACATGAAAGCCTCCCTCACCCGCTCACCTAAGAGGCTAATCACGAGCTCGGTTCCAAAAGGTTTCGCGAACCACGGAACCCAGTACGTGATCATGGGAATGAGAGCCCTGGCAGGTTTAGCGCAAACTGTGCTTGGCTTCATGGCGACGACTTCGTAGGACTTGGCCCAGGCGGCAATGTCGTCGGCGAACTCGATGCCGTCGCGCCACCCAGACTCGGCGTGTGCTAGATACCCTTCATATTGGATCTCCATAGCATCGCCCACACTCTTCCATAACACGCCGTACGCGCAATACTCCATTTCGTTTAGGGGCCGCCAATCATACAACCGTGCAAAGCGCCCCGGCTCTGTTATGAACACGGACAGCGTGTATAACAGGTCGGCGTTGGAGATGGTGCCCTCCTTGACATACTTGCCGTGCAGGAAATTCATGCGGGCAACCCCTCGCACGGCTCTGTCTGAGGTCGGCGGGTTGATCAGCCATTCTCCGATCAAGGCTGCTGTGTCTTCAAATCTGAAAAGCTTTCAGTCCTGATCTTGCGCCCGTAGTTTGATATCCATCATGAGAAATTTGTCCCGCCATGCGACTCTCAAATTCACCCGAATTTCACCCAAGCTGATTTCACTGAGAGCCATGGTATATCAAACGGAAATTCGGATAAGCCTTACTTACCTTTTTGGACTCCTGAGTGGACTCGTCAAGTTCCCCGTAGCCAGGAGTAGGCGACTTATGCTCTCGACGCCGTACGTCTAATCCCTCACGAGTACGGGCGTTAATAAGCCGTACCATAATCAGAAAGAACTCGAGAATAGCACAAGGTTATGCGCATAGACACAAAACCACACACCTTGAAAAGTCCAAACTGCAGGGCCTGGAACTGGAGCAGAGGCATCTCCCACGTACTGATGAAGTTAATAATATGCTGGGCCTCGACGGCCGTCATGCGCGCCAGCGACGCCCGGTCCGGGTAGCCCATCTTCCTGCGCATTGCCTTCTCGCGGCGAAACCGCAGCGCGCGGCATACTCCGGCGTAAAGCAGGACTCCCGGGACAACGAGCTGCTTCCATGACGTCGAGAATAGGATATCTGATGCTGGTTGTACGAAGCTCGCTGCTGTCCCGATGGTGGGCGCTGAGAGGTTCATTGCGGACAATCCGCGATGCGGTGCGATGCGATTACTTGTCGGGTGGTAGCTGTGATGTCAATGTCACCAACTCATGCTATGTCGTGCCATTCAATGCAAGGTTACTACATGTAAGAGCTCATGTGCGCGGGGACGGGCTGAGTTAAAGTACATACTACATATATAAGTTGGTGTGTCCGGTAGAGTGAGTGAGCCCGCATCGGTCCCCACGCGGTACCGGTATGTCCAAGTCTAGGGTCCACGAGTTCCGCTGCATTCTATTCGTGGCTCACGCCCTGCTTACCAACAATGCGATGCTCTAATAAGTCCGTACCTAGGCTGCCTAGGTAGGAAGATGAACTTTGGACCGTACACAGCTCATCAGACATGCCCAAAGGGGACATGGCAGATAATTCACCAACTCACCAAACAAGGTACCTTGACACCAGCACTCGGAAGCGTTCTACCGGTGGAGATGCAGAAAAGGGCAGGGTGCAGGAGGAACAAGCATCCGCGGTGGGGGTGACCCAACAGACGAGAAAAAGCAAGACACGTTCCACAGCTCAGCTATGATAGGGCCTGATATTGCGAAGCTGAGAAGTGATAGGCTATAGATTAGAATATCATTTATCAAGCGATGCTGTGTCCTCAGAACCTCGCACAATGCGTGCCTTTTCGGCATCAACCTCGCGGCTCGTGCAGCTAATGCTTGTTTCAAAGTACATATATACCTGTCCGTCCAAGATGGAGGATGACACAATAAGGTAGCCATCCTACAACTTATGTCCTCGTCCATAATCAAGCATAAGGTGCGTTTAGTCATAGCCCTAAGGTGCTGACGTGAGACGGCTGGCATTACATTCTCGTGAAGAGTTGGGTTCAGGACTCCATAAATAGGAGACTCTCCAGAGCCTGTGGTAATTTCTATAATTTCTATTATTCACCATGGCCATTCACGCGACCTTAGTCTTCTCCCTTCTCGCATTCCTCCAAGCCTTGATCTGGTTTAATAGGCCGATAACCAGGGGGACCCCCACCGGTCCGAGCAACGGTAGGTAAACGGCGATCTTATGTTCGTCGGGGAAGTAGAGCTGCCCAACCATGCTCTTCTCAAAGAAGGCGCGCTCGGCCTCTACATCGGCAATCCGCGCGTGTTCGAGGCCTGCTATCCCGCCGAGGTTGGAGCATGCGAGCTGGAGGTGATGCATAGACTTAGCCACACCGTCTGCGACGCTGGACGGGATGGATATACTGGGCAATGCTAGTGAGAGGCGAGCTAGCGACCCCAGCGAAGAGGAAGCTCG